CGTTTTAACAATTTTAATTTCCAAATTGACTCCATTCCCTGTGTTTGATCCCGTACTTACTTCACTACACTACTATGTGACTAGGTACGCCGCCTAATTTGTGTTTTAGTTTAGTCAGATAGATAAGGGTTATAAATATAAAGCTTTCAAAAGTGTATACATATAAAACATAATCACATCATTTATATAAAAAGCTAATGATTTATATAAATTATTCCAAGTGATTTATATGATACTTTTGATAGAACAATGTTATTTTCATCAATAAATATTTTCCAATTAATTACAAGAAATATACTTTTTATCAAGAATCAAATCCTTATAAATAATATATATAATAATATAAGTATATTAATAAGAACTAAATTCTTACAAATAATATATTATCATCAAGTTGTTGTTAGTGTGTCCCTTCTTAGATCATATATTAGTTCTTACAAATAATATATTATCATCAAGTTGTTAGTGTGTCCCTTTCTAGATCGTATATTATTTAGCAATATCATTCTATAATGTCTCTTGGACATAAAGATCTTTCACGCTATGTACGTGGGGCGGGGCCCGCTATATATGTTGGGGAGGGCTCGTATTGGTATGTGGTATCTTGGGAAACTCACTAAGTTTCGTGCTTACGGTTTTAAGTTTAATTGTTTCAGGTACTCCTTGTAGCAAGGGTAAAGGGCCGGCTTGATTGCATTGCATCCACCGATGATTTTTACACTATGTGACTTTGAGATTACTCTGATGTTTTTTTGAAAACTACAAACTCATGTTTTGGATTGTCTGGTTTATGATTGTATGGAATGGTTTTTATTACTTCAAAGACAAAAAAAATTCCAAGTATTTCTGGGATGTTACACTGCAAGTGAGGCAAAAATAGGAAGTAAGTAAAATGCTAGGAGTAAAAAAACATGGATAAACTAGGATACAAGCATATGAGTAAGAAGTATGCATCTGAACACTGGATTTGGTATTCAGTTTGCTTACAACATGACTCTAAAACTAGGATACAAGCATATGAGCAAGAAGTATGCAACCAAAGTCTTTAATCAAATGTTTCAAAAATGACCACTAACGTTAATTAACTTTCAAAACAATCCAAATACAAACAATTTAAGTTTAATAATTAAAAATACCAAAAATGATCACTATGACAAGTCCAAGTGGTTTCAACTAAACAAAAAAAATCAAAACTAACCAAATGGATCCCAACCTCACCTAGCCACAAAATCAAGCAACATGAACCAATTCAATGCAAGCACAACAAGAAAAGAACAAGTGTCAGCAAATACTAAGTGAGTAAATCATAAGTACAATGTTAAATGAAAACGTGCATATCCTCAAATAGGTCAATCAATCATCACATATCATGTATTCAAGTTCACACATTGCATATCATCACAATAATATGTTAATATTAATCTTTGTTATAATTACTCATTACTATCCATCTTTGTAATTATTCATCATTTTTTATCACTATAACATTTTAAATATTAATCTTCGTTATCATCGCTTAACATCATTATTGTGGGCCTTTATGTTCATTTTTAACCTAAAATGAAATATCCCATTCACTACTAACATGACCGACTTGACCCAATGCACTGAGGTGAGATGCGACTCTCACCCGTAACAATGCCTTCGATTTGTTGCATTCGTTACTCTGACAATGCATGTACAAGTATGATGCGTTGTCATTCGATAGTGGTACTTAACCATATATTTCCATCATTAGATACTTCCCACCCAAATGTAATCTTTGTATGACGTCCTCCAACCCCCAACTCCACTCCAGTCTTCGCATCAAAGGACCATGTACTGAATGGTTGTCTAGAAAAAACACTCAAATTCGTTATTGGCTTAAGCTCTTATCCTACATTTACTCTTTCAACCTATTAGACCATCACACAATTCGGATAAGACACACACCTAGATTTAGGTTTCTACCCTTTCCCTCTAAGTATGTTTTCCCCTATTATTAATTTACATACAAAGGGACATTTACATTTCATCATTTTCTCATTACATCATACATATGCATAATACATCATCCTAATATTAAAGCATATCACATCATTATCATGTATTCTATTAGCATCATTGTCAACTTGTTTTGTAAAAAAACATAACATGTATAACATCACACAACACAATCAATTCATCTCCCTCACACTAGCATTAACCTATTAATACAATTCACACCGACTCATCATACAAAGTATCTAACATGCAATACAACTTAGATACTTCTTCACAGTAGGGTACTAACTTTTTCAACACATATATCATACACAAATAGGGGCAGGCAATATACATATCAACCTAGAATTAATTGATTCATCCTAATATATAAATGTTTCCGAACAATGTACTAGAATTGCAACAAAGATCGACTCACCTCAAGTCTAAGTTTTGGGAAGCAATGAATATAGGAAATCACTCCCTATGAAGCAATTAAGCACCCTAAAAGAACACAAAAGATCCCGATCAGAAATGAGCCTCAAAACAGAAAATGGTCTACACATAACAAAATTCGTTTCGCGGATAGGAAAGGGCCACATTATGACTGTTCAACAGATCGCGACTTAGGTTAACACGAACTCACGTAGTCACGCTGCAGACACATGGTTATTGCACAGTGAAAGTGTTGGCAATTACAAAACTTTATTTTGACATTGTGCCATTTCTAGCCCAATCTGGGTTCGATCAAAATCCCTTTTGGGAAGATTTCAGCCCCTCAAAACAATGATTAAGTATCCATGATTGTTGGAACACTTTGGAGACCAGAATAACACTCTACACCATGAATTTTTCACAATCCATGACTATCTCTTGAGTGTGAAGTATAATAATAGAAGATAAATCAAAGGATTAGCCATGTACCTTTTGGAATTTTGTGAGGACACAAAGAGCAAGGTAGAGGGGAAACAATCCAATGAAACACCACCAAGGATCCACCAAAATGAGTAATGCTTCACTACAATCAACCACAACTCCAAGAATGACAATAACCTAAGAACTCTCTCCATTTTTGGGTTGTTGGCTGCAAATGGAATGCGATTCACAGATTTTAGGGTTAGGCTAGGTTATATACTTAATAACTTTCCATCTAGGCCCCCAAAATATCATGAAATGACCTCTAGACCCACATACATGATCAAGGTTCATTTTATTACACTTTGGCCCTCCAAAGATAACTTTAATACAAGAAAAATGTTAGTTTAAGAATAAAGCTTAACGAAACACTAACCTCGATGATGGATGAAAATTCGAGTCGTTACACAAATGTTGTAATAGATGTTTTAGAGTTTTTATGATGGAAATGAGGTTGATGATGAAGGCTAACATGATGTTCGTAACAAGAGGAAAAAGAAACCTTCTGAGAGGATAATTAAGAAAATTTTGAAAAATTCTGTTTTCTATAAAGATAGTAGTGGTTCAACAACCACCACTCCATTAAATTTAAAGTAATTGGGCAGCTAAAAGGAGGGGTTGTAGTGGGGATGCAAACACTTTTCAGTACATTTTTTTCATACACCCACTAATTATAGCATACACTCAGTTCTTTTATGTTACCATTTGAGTTGCCTTTTTTGTAGATTTTTTATGCTTTTTTGTATAAATGGATGGTTGCTACAATTTAGTCATATTAAACCTTATGTAATGCCCCCCCTGTAATGTTATGTCATTATGTGTCTCTTACATTGCCAATGGCTACAAATAATCAATGTTAGTTTCCTTATTTGCATATTACATTACCATTAGTTCAATGTACTTCCAGTATATTTCGTTACCACCAAAGCTAAGAACATTATCATTTCCAATAACGTACTTTACTTCTAAAACTAAATTCATTACCATTTCTAACAACTTACTTTGCAATTTCCAACAAATTATTAATTTTATTTCCTTGTGTATGTTGCCATTTATGCAATGTACATTACCATTTTATCAAAGAGATATTGACATAAGTGATGATACAAGTAATTATCATTATATCAAAAGGATGTTGACACAATTTACCTAAAAAACCTATTATAACAATGTATCATTTTACCAAATCAAAGTAAAAGTATCATTTCAAAACATCCTCATTACCATTACACTTTAATCCACAATTTATACAATGCAAAAAAAGAAAAATTACAACTTAAGAACTACCACGACGACCATCATTAAAATAGCCACTAATAACCTACAATAATCTGCAACATCACCATCACCAATCTCTGTTCTTGGTTCACTAGGTGCTTCTTTGAAGTTATCCTATCTTCTCCGTCATCAAATACACTTAAGAGATCAACCCAATTGAAAAAACGGCAATAAGATTCAGGATCCTACAAAACAAGGTATCATTATGTCAAAATTAAGGTTTGTAAAGAGAAATTACATCATTTTACTTAGAATTTATGGCAAACCAAAAATCTTCCTCCTGGGTTGTCTGATGTCTTGAAATCCAAATTGGACATACATCACCACACCAACATCTGATTAAGCCCTTGTTCTTCCATTGTGAACTTCCATTGGATCTCAACTTTCTTGAAGACGTTATCATTAATCCCTTTGAAGATTGTTTGAGGAAAAGAAAATAGGGTAACCTTTTTAAAAGGAATGAATGAGTTTTAACAATCACATACGACTCTAACGTGGCCTTAGTAACCACTATGTAAGGGTTAACCTAATAAAATGCATATATATATATATATATATATATATATATATATATATATATATATATATATATATATATATATATATATATATATATGACAAAAGCTTCTCAAATCTTGGACATTAATAAACATAAAAATGAGGGTAAATCATTTTTTTTAAACCTTTTTGACAATATTGTTGAAAGATAAAATCCATGTGGCTTTAAAATGGGCTTTCAATAGCCACTATGCACTACTAATGAAGGTCGTAGATATGGGCCTAGAAATGCAGTCCAGCCCGTGTTTCGGCTTATATATAGATTGAAGATATAATTCATCTGTTTCAATTTCTCGTGCTGTTTCGTTCTGATCGGAGCCAAAGTTCATCACCGGAGTTTTCCATAACTGAATACACATACAATTTCATAACTCACATGTCCACATCTCGTCGCCTCTATACACATACCTGATTTTTCATCTGATGGATCCTTCTATAATGAAGTTCCTCGAAGAAGACGAGGTTATATGCATATACCATTCTTTGCGTCTGTTTGTTTTGATTCCTATATCCTAAATGGTGCTAAATCTTTGTTGTATATGTTTATGTATATGGCAATTTTATTTTCTCAGGATGAAACAATGCATTCAGGGGCAGACGTTGAGGCGTTCACTGCTGCCCTAAACAGGGATATTGAAGGGGACAATACTTCAACATCTCAGACTCCCACTACTACAGATGCAGGCGGAGGTATTTCACGATTCTCTAACCGTTCTTAGTTTTTCTATACTCTTTCTTCTTCAAATCTAGACAGAGATACACTTTCAGTTAGTATGTCAAACGAGCTACTTTTCAACTTCAAATTGAGCATGAAAACCCCCCAATATATGAATCCGTACAATTGCTTAAAATTAGGTCTCAAATTTGGTATATTCAAGTGATTCTTAGCGGTAAATGACATGGCCGACCTCCATTACCTTCAAAGTTGTTTTATATGATGTTACCTGTCGATTGATTTTAATCCTTCCAATTCATTGCTTTTTTCTTCCTTTATGTTTCCATACCCTTTTTACTCCCACCAACATTCATCAACATTCAGCTATCTGTGAAACTCAAGTATCTACCACTATTGCAGCTTTATCTCAAGGAACGAATCATACTCCAAGCCAGTTGTTTCAACAGTGGCAATCTGCCAACCGTGAAGGAAACACCAATTACTCTAACGAAGAGGAAGTTAAGCCACAGATACATGAACAGCAATCATCTGCCATGGAAGCAAATCGACATGGATCTGGTTCTGGTTCTGAAACCCAACATCCACCAAATGATACCTCAAGAGAAATGAATCTTAGCCAATCAGAACCTAGCAGACCTCAAGATGATCAACATAATGTTCATATGTCTCAAACCATGAATGCACAGAATACTGAAAAGAATCCTGTCAATTCTCAAGAGCCAAATATAGCAAGGAACCCAGAAAATGAATCCCAATTGCAAAGGATGCATAGAATTGGAAATCAGCAACAACAGCAAGCAATGGCTGCAACTGGTCAAGCAGCTAATGCAATGAATCGGCCATCTGGAAAGCAGGTGCCTTTTGCTCTATTGCTTCCTGTTATAGAACCACAACTTGATAAAGACAGGGCTATGCAACTCCAAGGTCTATATGTTCGATTAAGGGTATGATTTTGTGCTATTTTCTTTTTCTTTTGTTATTGTTTCTAACATTCTATAAGCTGAATTGTAATGTTTTTACTTTCTTCCAGAACAATAACATTAACAAAGAAGAATTCGTCAGGCACATGCGTAGTCTTGTAGGTGATCATATGCTTAAGATGGCTGTCTATAAGTTGCAACAAGGGCAAGGGCAGGTTGAAAACACTTTCATCATCTGTTTTTATGTGTTTCATTATGCAAAACTTTTTCTTGAAAACACTTTCTTCATATTCATACACCCTTTAACCAACTTCACAAAATGTATTCCACTTTTCAGGTTTCTGGTAAACATAATATTCAAAAGCCATCTCCATATGTTCCACCTTCATCTATTCATCAATCAGCTGAATCAAGCAGTCTACCAATGGATAACAATGCTCAAAAGTCAAGATTGTTGGAACACCAATCAGATGCATCTATCCATAATGCTAGTAAGCAAGATAGGGAGCAGCAGCAACCATTTCCAGTACAAGGACTTGTCAAACAACAACAACATATGCAGTTTCCTCAACCTCCTTTTCCAAATTATGGAAACCCTAGTGGAAACTTTCACCCAGGGTCTAGTCCAAATATGAATATGACCTCACAATCTTTTAAACCACAAACCCATGATTTACAAATGAGGCAAGGTCCAGTAGTTCATAATCAGGTAGGAGGAATTGGGAATCCAATGAGTCAAAATGCGTATAATGACATGAAGAGAATGCATGGAGGAAATCTGTCCCATTTAGGCCACTGGCAATCATCAATGCATAAAGAACAAATGTTGTCAACAATGGCTTATGTGAAACCAGAACCTGTGGATCAGATTAGTGATCAACAACAACAACATAAACCACCACAACAAGGGCAATCTTCATTTTCTCAGGGTCAGATTGAACAAGGTGGTGGAATTGCAGGGTCTTTAAAGGATGACAGTTTTGAGATGATGGCTTCTTCAAGGCCTGGTTTCTCAACTCCTATGAATAAGCCTGAGCCTATGTCCATCACAGCACAGCTTGAACGCCAGAATGCGGTAATAATATCACTTTTTTTTTTTTTTTTTTTTTTTTTGGAATACCAAAAACTTGATTTACCAGTTTAATTCAATCCAGATTCCTATTTATGCAAATTGAATATGTGTGAGCGACTATTTCCAATCTTATATGCAGCTGAACATGATAATGGAATGTAAGAAATAGCAACATACTTCAGTTGATTTGTTTATTGAAATACTAAGAAATTTTCATTGCTATAAGTAGGTAGAGTTTTTAAAATATAATGTTAATAAGAGAAACTTTTAAAAGTAGAATGTTATAAATCGTTAATTTCTCAAAGTACAGTGACTTGATAAGAATTTTTGTTGGATAGAAAAAAATGAAAGTATGATGCTGCTATTGCTATTTCTTGAATTTAGCCCTTCTTTTTTATCTCTTCATTTTATGAGTAGCGGATCAAAACAAATTGTTGATTGTTAAGCTCTTGGATGCAGTCTGCTGGAAATCCTTCATTAGCAGCTGCTGGAAGTAATGCAAAGACTCCCCCTAAAAAGCCATCTGTTGGCCAGAAAAAGCCATTGGAAGCACCTGTTTCTACAATAAGGTTTCTTTTGTAGTCTAAACATTCAAACCATAATTTTAATCTTGCTCTTACCCTTTTATGTATTTTTATTTTTATTTTTTCCAGTAAGAAGCAAAAAGTGTCGGGAGCATTTTCGGACCAAAGTATTGAGCAACTTAATGATGTCACTGCTGTCAGTGGAGTCAATCTCAGGGTATGTTTTGTTTTCTTCCGTATAAAGGATGATGAATCACATTATGTTTCATCAAAGTGATAAATGCTTGAAAAAGCAATATACTTTCATTTAACATTGTGCTTTTATTTTTATTTTTTCTTATTATGACACTGCAGTCTGAAAAATCTAGTAATTAACTTTGTACTTTCAATTTTTTCTTATTAGAACATTGGTATTTCTTTTTATTTATGATTTATCCCTTCAAGAAAAGCAATAAGTTAGCTCAGTTCACTGTTTTGTGATGCTCTGGTTTATCAGGAAGAGGAAGAACAGCTATTTTCTGGCTCCAAAGAAGACAGTAGAGTCTCAGAAGCTTCACGAAAGGTCGTTCAAGAAGAAGAAGAAAGGTTGATTTTGCAGAAAATTCCACTCCAGAAGAAATTAGCAGAAATCAGTTAAGATTTTTACTTTTTGTTTATATAAAGCAATCTATTTACATATAACCTGAATGGATGTAGCTTACAGTTTAAGGGTTTCTTTAAACGTTTTTTTACAGTGGCAAAATGTGGTGTAAAGAACAGAAGCAATGATGTGGAGAGGTGCTTGTCACTGGTGAGCTTCACTTTATCTTAAGTTATAACTAGTAAGGTAGCTTCATGAGAGGGGGGGGGGGGGTGACCGAACTTGCGTAACCACAAAAGTTTAGGGAGCAATTATGCAAATATACGAAAGACTTGTGGCCAAAGTTTGAAACCCAAAAAGGGTAGGGACTAAAACTGCCAATATAAAGTGTGAAACATAAAAAGTCTCGGGGCGAAACATGGCAGTATATGAAAGTATAGACACCAAACCTGCTAATATACGAAAGTCTTGTGGCCAAACTTTAAAACCCAAAAAAGTCTAGGGACTGAAACTGCCAATATAAAAAACTATTGTGGCCATATTATGAAACCCAAACTCTTTACTATTCATTTCCACTTTCTAATTAGTATATATAAATAATATTTATGAAATGGGATAAATGCAAATAATAGCAACATGCATTTATTTATATGTTTATTATTGCATCCCACATTCATAACATTGTACTTCCATTTTTTTCTTATTAAGGTGTTGTGTACCCTAAAAAATCTACCCAAGTATGACATTGTACTTACAATCTTTTTTTCTTATCAAGACATTGTAGTTTAAAAATCTACCAATTATGGCTATGAAAATTGTTTTGTAAAATGGATGACATTGCTATAATTGGTAGGTTTTTCAAAGTGCAATGCTGTAACAGGAGAAAATGGAAGTGGAATGCTATATTAAACAAAGAAATGAAAGTAAATTGCTATTTTTTTTTTTGCATATAACTTATTATGCAACTCGTTATCTAGTGTGTAGAGGAAAGAATGCGTGGATTGATTAGCAACCTCATCAGACTTTCAAAACAGGTTAGTATTTTGTGTATATATATAAATTTAAATATTATTTAGTTTTTATTGTTTAACTCCGTTTCAATTTCTACCAACCAAACACATGACAGATTTCCTAATTTAACTTTGAATCGTTTTTTCTTTCAGAAATACCCTGTTGTATTAATTTATACATTGTTACTCAATTTTTTGTACAAAATAATAAGTATTTGAGCTTAAAAAGTCTCTTTTTTGGGACGGAGGTAGTAGAAGTTATTAAAAATGTGAATGATTAAATTCCAGAGGGTGGATATTGAGAAGCCAAGACATCGGACAGTTGTAACCTCAGATGTGAGACAACAAATCATGTCCATGAATCAAAAAGTCCGAGAAGAATTAGAAAAAAAGCAAGCTGATGCAGAAAAACTCCAAAGAGCAGATGAGGCAAGTCTCACCTTTAATCATTTATAGCAACCAACTGTAAAAAGTTTATTCTATTTTATTTTGTGAACAAAAACAAATAGTTGGTTACTACCCTTTTATGCTACTTTTCTAAAACAGTTGTGTTGAATAGTTTTATTACCTTTTTTATGACATTAATGCAGCCTGATGGTGGTGGAATTGATGGTGAAGATGGTCGTGGAAAATCTAAGGTATTTTTGATTTTAAACATTTTCATGTTTTTTTTTTGTAATATTAAAAAAAAATGTTTCAGGCAAACAAAGAGGAAGATGATAAGATGCGAACCACGGCTGCCAATGTGGCAGCACGGGCGGCTGTTGGCGGAGATGACATGCTGTCAAAATGGCAACTAATGGCTGAGCAGGCCCGCCAGAAACGTGAAGGCGGCGGTGCTGACGTGGCATCATCTTCTCAGCCAAGTGTAGATGTTGGTCCCAAGCCTGTGTCAAATTCTAAAGATAATACGGATACTGAGAGGAGCTCTGGTGTTACCACTGCTACTGCTACTCCTGGTTAGTGTTCTGTTTCTTTTTGGGTTAAATGCTAGAAATAGCATAAGTTTTCTTTGATTTGTTCACTCTCTAAAGTTTTGACTAACACTTTTCTACACTCTGAAACGAGAGAAGAAAAAAGAAAGAATCAAACACTTGCAAGTGTATTTATATTGGAATAAGTCAGAAAGATAAATGAGAAGCGGGTTGAAACTTGATAGATAACATGGACCAATCTTCTACTTAGAGAATTAAATTTGATTAAAAACACATTTTATGAGGTTAATACTTTCAAAAAAAAAAAGTTCTTATTCGGACATCATACTGGGAAAGTGAAAATTGCTTTTGTATTTGAATGAGGTTGCAATAATTGGGTAGATTTTGGGAAAAATGAAAGTGCGTTGCTATTTCTTGTGTAACAGGTCCAGTAAGGAAATCAATGAGGAATCAAGAGTTGGGTCAGAATGGTAGTAGCGTACCACGAACCATCTCTGTGAAGGATGTGATTTCTGTTTTGGGGAGGGAGATTCAGATGTCAAGATCCACCTTAATTTATCGTCTTTATGAAAAAGTCAGATCTGAACACGCCTCTGAATGAAGAAAAAACTTTTCTTTTAAGCTAAAAATGGGGAAGAGAATTGTATATATTCATGTTTCATAACAAAAACTGTACAACTTGTATTTTGTTTTTAATTTCTATATCAAACTTTTTTAAAGTTCCGAGTATTCAGTCAGTCGCATGTTTATGCTTTTCTTACATTAATATGTTATGATCTACAATCTGCATTTATATTGGTTTATGAGTATGTCTATATTTTCATATATTTGTTACTAATATGCATTGAAAACTTCTATATGATGGGTTTAATTGTACTATTTAATATCTTATTTTTTGTTGAAATGCATATTGAAATATATAATATTTTCAAATAATTTGGATGTCTCGTTAAAGGTTCGTATAATTAGCTGAAGGTCTACAAACTCTTCAAAAAGTGCCGATGTGAGTTTTAGCCTTTTAGGTCAATGTCGACATGAATGTGCTTAGTTTTTAGGATAGGTGGAGTGGAGGTGCTACGGGGGTCGCTAGGCTCGCTGACCGCCCCTGGCTCTCGCTAGGGGGCTCGCTATGGTCGACTCGCTAGAGGCTCAACGAGAGAGAGAGAGAGAGAGAGAGAGAGAGAGAGAGAGAGAGAGAGAGAGAGAGAGAGTTGGCTTTGTTGTGATTGGTGGATTGAGCATTGACCGGATTCATTACTTCACATTTGACCAAATTCCAAAAAAAAAAAATCCCTTCCTTTTTTTTTTTTGTTAAAAACATCCGAAACTTACCCTACAAAAATTAAAATTTCAAATTTTGTATCAACCACTATAAATTAAATTACTCTCAACATTTCACACACATAAAATATTAAGTGTTTCTTTAAAAAAAAAATAGAATTTATGTAATATTAAATGTTTGTGTATTAAAAAGATATAACTTAATTAAATTTGAAAAAAAAAAATGAGTGTTAGGAGTGTTATCACTCCCTATGAATTGTTAAGAATTAGGGGTTAGCGAGGTGATAGACAAAAAAATGACATGACATTCAAAAAAAGTGATGTGTCAAGGTGCTAAGAGTGTTACCGCTCCCTCTAGTCTTAATATAATTTTAGATATTAATTTTTTTTTTGACTTTTAGTTAGACGGTTTCTCCAAAACCAGTCAAGTTTTCTCCATTTGATGTTTATCGGCCATGAGATTTTTATTTGTCATTTAGCAGCACTGGTCCTAAAAAAAGCCTCACATGAACTTTTTTTTTTCTTAATATTAAAATAAAAGAAAATTGAGTAATCTAACCCTTATAAATGACATTTTTGATATAAATGACTAATTTTTATTTTTTTTTCTAAAAATAACCACATTCTTCGGAACACCTTTGTTCCGGAGAGCTCTCCGGAATTCCGGAGTACGGTTCTGGAATACAGTTTCCTAAGGGTTTTTTTTTTATTTAAATTTTACGTATAACATGTGGTTTTTCTTTTAGCGTAAGTTTTGGTTTTATATAATGTATAAGTTTTGCTTTTTATAAAATGTTTAAGTTTTGCTTTCATAAAATATATACATTTTGGTTTTATCAAATATAAAATGCAATTAAAATCAACAAATAACTAATAAATACATAAACTAAATAAAGGATGTGTCTGTAGGTGGTATTACAAATACGATGTTTAAATTATCTTTGTTTTTATACCCCAAAAAATTTCCGTTAGGCTTTTTCGATAACCCAAAACCCATAGACCGGTTTTACCCTCTACAGAAATCGATTTCTTGGTGATCAACGCCTCCAGTAACCAACACAAAAACACCCCACAATCCCCTATATTGTCAATCTGTTGTGGTACGTCTGAGGCCTTTTCCACGGTCATAGTTGACTCCCACTAGTAGCTTGTGGATGCGGGTTGTCATACCTATAAACCAATCCTCATTTTCCGAACAGTAGCCGCCCTTCCAATGACAATCGTATATAGTCATTTTGAATGTCTTCAAATCCAAAGAACCCAAAAATCAATGAGCTTGTGGTATATTGATTGGGATGTAAAACTACAAAAAAGGTTAGAAATAATTAATTAGTATATAAATACTCAGGTAATGTAATCCAAACAAAATTATACCGTATCACACTCTGCCCAAGCTGGGTAAACGGATTTTCCAGCCATGTCACTCCAGTCATATGTATCAGTGTTGAAAGTTGATGACACCACCATCCACCGAGCATCATCCTCTTTACGCTCTAGAAGCAATGAGATACACATCATGATGTGTTGCCAACTAATTTTTTTTGCAGTAAAGTAAGTATTATTATTAGAAGCGTAGTATACATCACATGACAACCATCCTCCATGACTATCCGCATATAACCGTGTCCAAAACTCAAGCGTAGTAAAACCGGTCAAATAATTGTGAGTACACAACAACGAACCATCCCGTTCTTTATACACATTGTGTACGGTAGGATCTACAAGATTGTCCAACAATGCTGGTTGTTGCGGTGTAACACATTTCCTCGTCATTTGTATTCATGACGACTTATACCATATCGACATAACTTTTTGGCATTTAGAACGCCTAAGCCGTGCTTGCGCCGATGTTTTGTATTCGTCCCGCGAAATCTCTTTTTTATATTCGACGACTGAATAACCGGAGATGGCTGCTCAAGGCCGACATTCAGCGGCTTTTCGGGGCCGCTTAAGACATAATCATGCTCCCATAACTCATTGTCATTGTAGTATCTATGTACGGTTCAATAATATATACTTGTAAACGATGCAAAAACATAACGACCAAACTTTTTTTTTTGAAAGAGCACATAACGACCATACTTGATGAAATAATTAAAAATGTACCTCCATCCCCTTCGAGGTACCAGCATCTTCTCCGGGAGTCTTATTGATAATTTTTAGAACCATGAATAAAGTAGCCTCTTGCTCTGCTAAACGCTCCTCCTGAGACCGCAACTTCTCGCGACATTCACGGACCTCATTTTTCAATTGACCGACCTCGTTCTGCAAGTCACTAATAATTTGGTCCTCGTCAGTTGATGGGTCAGCGGGCGGTGGTGGTTGTAACAACTGTCAATTTTGGATCCAACAAAAGTCAACAAGTCAACAAAAGTCAACTCGACCCGTATTAGAATTTTAGGTGAATCTTGATGTTTCCTAATGTACAACTTACAAGTATTAATACGAAATACCTCTCTTTTCGCCAATTATTGAATAAAAATCCTATTTTGGATTAACAACGTCAATTTCGATAATTCCAACATATATTATTTTGGTATAAATAATATTTTCAACACATTGTGCTATTATCTTTATTGATAATGATTCCTTTATAATGATTTGAATTTTTATAATTCAAATTAGGTAATTATACATTAGTTTTACCATCTTTTTTTTATAAAACACCCATTTTTTTATAAAAACACTCAGGGTTTTATAAAGATTAGGAGGGTTGACCTTGGTGCATGGAAAGCCCCAACATTGGTCATGTCTTCTTCAACTTCCCACAAAACACATTACCCATCATACAACCAAGCAACCATCACCTCACCCCACCCTACACCCCCTCCTCCCTTCTTACTTAGGGTCGGGAGGCCTTCCCTCTCTCATCATCTTCATCATTTTCTTCAACTTACTCCATTTTCTCTCAAGAACAAAGCTCCTCTTTCTTAGGCTAATTATTCCAAGTGGTTCTTGACATTTTGGTAAGTGTTTTCTTCATTATCTAGTGTTTCTACACACTTTCATACTAGTTTCATCTCATTTACACACATTAATATGTGTTAAAATCCATAGGATAATACCATCTTCAAGTGTTCTTCAACCACCTTCAAGCGTTTTAAGCTTAAAGATCTTCATCTTCATCTCTTTATCCACTAAGAAATCCACTCAAGGTGAGTTCATACCCCATATTTTCAAGATTTTCATGTTTTAAGGGGGGAATACAAGTAAACTTATATAATAATACAAGATGTTATGCATGTTTTATTATGTTGGGCATGAACATACTACTAGTTATTTGAAGTTCAAAACTATGAAAAACAAGTATAAACATGTTATATGTTCTTAAGGAAATGTTATAAACACAAACTATAAAAACAAGGGTTTTTGTAAACAAAATATGGCTTTTCTAGCAAAAGTGGTTATAACCTAGTTATTCCACCATTTTTGTGAGATTTAAACCAAAATATGTCATTTGGGACATATGTTTTGAAACTAGCCAAAAATGTCAAAGATTTAGTTTTACAAAAAGAAAACTTAAAAATCTATCATTTGTAAAAATGGGTTTTCTAACAAAAATGGTCATAACTAAGTTATGGCACCATTTTTGTGGGTTTTGACTAAAAATATGTTGTTTCAAACATATAAAGTTAACTCTACTTAAATATCTCAAAAAGGTGAAAATAAGTTTTACTAAGTTATATTTCACTATTTACCGGTTAATGTCGTTAGAAAAACCAAAAACTAGGAAACTTGGTTTTATCATACCAAAATTTCTTATACTTGTGTAGGATGTAAATTATATGATATAAACTTTTAAAACATCTAAACATGCTATCTTTTATATATTGATAGCTTTATTTTATTTACTTCTTTTTATAGTTTATTTTAGCACATTTCATTCGCATTTTAGTTAATATCTATGCATATTTTCTCCTTTTGTTATTTTTCATCTTTATCGGGTACTTTCTAGTATTTTGAGCTTAATTGCAGAATTTATCGAAGACTATTCAACATGAAGGAATGGAGGGAATATAATACCTTTAGAAACTTGCATTTTGCTTGTGGACTTGAAGTGGTGCGATTGGGCTTGTTGTCAACATAATTAAATGAGCAAGTTGGGCTTAATTTTAGATGAAGAATGATGATGATGTGAAGAGAATTTTGAGTTATAGAAGATCAAGGAAGCAATGGCCCATCATGGGAGAGTCAAGAAGACACAATTGGGCTATCAAGAACCTTTACTTGTGGGTTGGACCAAGAAATAAATGAGCAAAACTAGAAGGCCAATTAAATGGGCCAAATGGCCCAGAATCCACGCGGTCCGCGTGGATTTAAAAATGGTCTGCGTGGATCGCACTGTGAAGAATCCGAGTTTTGACTTTTTGACTCTATTTTGGGAAGGTTGGTGGATGGCTTTTTGGGAGCTTTTGAATCCGAAAATGAGCCCTTTTTACTGGAGATTTGAGGGGGAATTCATTA